GAAAATCATTAATAGGCAATCGTTCGATGGGCCGAATTGCACAAAACGCATGATCGCACCGGCTAGCCTGGTGCGCATTGCTATTTATTTCTTGTTCGAAGTTAACATGCTAATGCATAAATGAGTCCCACAAGAGCAAACAGCTGAGCGGAAGGAATTCAAGCCTAAACGTAGAGATCGCAGTAGGACACACTACACACTTCAACATGAATTTTTAAGAATAATTTGCTGAAAACTGAAATCTGACCCAATGCTAAGCTTGATTCATTGATAAATACTGCCCACAAGTCCCAATTTATCATTTTAAAACCAGTCCCACTAAAATCCGTCACTTTGTTCCAAATGCGTTTTTACTCCCAGTTTCTCTCAAGCCAGGTGCACAGGATGCCTTCATTTTACTTTTCAAGCAATGTTGGCAAAATGCTATTACTTTTCCAGACACTTTCGTTTGCATCCCTATTTCGGGCAGTAAAAGGCCAATTTTCAATCCAATCTCTGCTTGAAAAGATTGCCCACGCATTCTACGCTTCTGATAATATAAAAACAAATCATTCAAAATTTTATATTTTGGGACATACTCCTAAAAATCTGAAAAGAGCATAAAATGTTTCTAAAATCCGGGCCACCTAAAATCCAAAATATTCCCCATAACATTTCCACTGTTATTCCAATACTTCAAAAATCTCACCTCACATGCTATTAGTCTGCCAATCACGGGCACTAGAGTGTGCAAGTGTTTTGGCACGAGCTCCGGGTTTGCTGTAAGCAACTGCCGTGTACCAACAACTGCATCACGTCTCATGTTCAGATTGTAATGGCCAAGTCGACGGCAGAGCTCATCAAGCGATAAGCCACGATGAGACAGATGGCTCTCCTCATGCTCGGCCAGTTGCTCCACCAACACAACCTCAAAATGAACAAAAGATTATTTTCCACCTCAAAATTCTTGCTTGTTTTTAAAGGCTCTTTCCAATGCTAAATTTTAACGATCCAAGCTTGAGGAGACGAAAAGAAAAAGTCAAAATCGATAGAAAGATAACCACCAAGACTTGCAATAGGGGTTAAAAAAGTGAAAAGATCACAAGCTGTCCAAACTGTGTTGTCTACAGCAGATAATCCAAATATAAGTAATATGAATTAGATATTTTATGGTTATAGAAACGGTAGTAGAAAGAGAGAAGTAAAAACAAGAACAAAAGTGAAAACTGATCTGGAATAATGCAGCTTTACCAAATAATTAATATTAAGCAATATTCCATTACAAGTTATATGCCATTATTTAAGTAAATAAGTATCTTCCACCATTTTTTATGTTTAAAAAAACATATTTCTCATGTCACTTTATTTTTTCCTTAAATGCTACAAAAACGCTTTTTGCTTTAGCACACTTTTGGCTATAAAAAAACAATTTGTCGAAAACTGCTAAAAAAAAAACATTTTTTATCGATTTTCTTTGGTACAATTTACTTTAAAAACAAGAAAACATTCAGGATAATTCCAAGTGCCTTTGCTTTTCAAAGAATAAGGGAATACTCAGCGCTGAGTTTCGAACTGATTGAAAGAATCTACCCGGAAAGAATCTATCCGGAATCCGCATTTCTTTCCGGAGAAACCAAAAAAGAAAGTAGAAAAAGTGGTTCGCTGTTTATCAGGGGAGGAAGCTTCGATCACAACAACCGTAGAGAAGCTTTTGCAAATCTCGCTGGATGGAAAGATACTCAAAACCCCGTAGATCTTACCATAGAAGTAAAATTGAACAATACTCTTTTATGTTCTATTATTTCGGAATCTTTTCCAACACATCGAAAAGTGCGAATCTTAACTGCCATGACCGGCAGGCCAGACGAATATGCTAAGAATTCTGCGTCAAAATTTTCACTGCAACAACCCCCCACATAGTTACGCCAAGTCTTTCGGTGCTGATTTTATATGGCCAAGATTCAGAGGAGATGCTGATTTACTGTAAAAAAATTTCAACCTTTTTGGCCTGGATTCGCGTATCAGTGGAAGTTGTTTTCTTCAGCTTCTTCCCGACTTTCAATTTTGCCTTTGGAAAATCTTTATCCGATTTCTTTTTCTTTGCCATTGCACTGGAACGTGTTCGTACATTAGAATTTGCAACAAAATTACAGTAAAAATCGCTGTCCAAATTCTCCACTACTTCTCTTCCTGGATGAGATGCGGGTACTCGGTAACTAGCTGTGGCAAATTTCTTATGCGTTTTTTGCAGCTATGCAATGCAGAAAGCGCACATTGACGAGGGGTTGTCTATGCGTGTGTCTGTCTGTGTGTTCGTCTGTACCGATTTTCCGTCTCGAGACCGGCAAAAGCCACAGGGCTGAAACTTTGGGGACATAATTTGCATACACGTACGAGTCCCCTTCCCCAAAATGGGCGGTTTTACTCGCGTGGTACCCATGTAAGAGCCCGCTAAAATCTTTCTCGGGTAAGTTGATAACTCGCGAACCAGGAAAGCTAGAAAGCTGAAATTTTAATAAGATTTCCCCCGTCCAAGTAGACACTGATGAGCCCAAACCCAGCCCCCAGGTAAGCGTGGTACCCGCGTACGGGCCCGTGGAATTTTCTTCCCAGCGAGTTGCTAACTCAGGAGCCAGGAAAACTAGGAAGCTGAAATTTTAAGGGGTGTTTCCTCCAAATTCCGGTGAGCAATCTCGATTTGTTTAGCTAGAAGTATTTGCCGAAAAAACCGATGCCAGTAGCGACAAAAACTGTGAGGAACTATGCAAAAAACGCATCTTCGCACGGGCAGCCCGTGCGTTGGCCAATTATTTTTTTTGCGGAGGAAGCCAATAAGACACGGTTTAACACAGTGGTACGGTAAAAGCACAACTAACAATTTACCAATTTATCCTCGGAACGAATCACAGAACCACCAGTGAGCAGGTTTCGCTACCAAAAGATTCACCCTAAACTTAAAAAATGCCACCTACTATTACATCTAGTTTACTATTAGCTGGTAACTGGAGAAAAAAAATGAAGCATGCTAAATGTAATTAAGTCAAATTGTTGATGGGGGAATGACCAAAAAGGTACACTGTGTTTGCAATGAAACCAATTCGACGGTGGTTAGCGAAGAAAACGATCAGTTTATCAACATTTCAAAAAACAAATTGGGCGATAACAATTGGCCAATAAAAATTTCATCAGTGAAAGATCCTGAAAAAAAAAAAATTCATGGACAATATCCGAGACATTGGGTACCACCACAGCACAGCTGATTCAAATGAAACGAATGGAGAACAGAAAAGACACACAGACGCACAGCATAACCAATAATTTTGGCATGGATCCAACACCACAAAAACTAAATTTCAAATTTAACCTCTAGAAATTTGTAATTGAAAATACATAAATGCTGTTTGTCAAAATCTATATCATTTTTCGCATTTCTTTCCTCCTCTTAAACCACAGCCTATAAAAAAAAGCAAAGCTCTCATCCGAAAGTGAGTGACAAAGTTCGCAGGAACAAAACTCACTGGGAATAAATCAGCACCCGTAAAACAAGCACACTTTTCGTTCCCCTCCCCCC